ATCCCAGGCCTGTATTCCGGGGAAGTGACGGACTTTCTCCCAAGCCAACGGCGCAGCCTGGAGTTGCCGCCGACAGAGCCTCGCGTCTCTCTTCCTTAGCCCGTGGACAGTTTCAGGGGAAAGGGGCAGAACCTTCGCCTGGCACTGGGAACCTTCGCCCAAACCCTGGGAAGGGAGAGCAGGCGTGCCGGCCTGGCTGTCGGCGCTCCTGGCCCTCTGGCAGGTCCCCAGCGATTGGAGAAAAAAGCAAACTTTTGCAGCCCTGGAAAGTTGCTGACCAGGGCTTTTGCCCCAAAAGCATGGCTGTGCGGCAGACGGCAGCAGAAGACGGAGGAGGATATTCTGGAGGGAGCCCAGATTAGGACGCACACCTGGCGGGCCGGATAAATGTTTTCGGTGGGCCGCATGTGGCCCCCGGGCCGTAGTTTGAGGACCCCTGGTCTGGAATGAAGGCTGCCTGGTTTGAGCTATGGTCAGATGGAAATCTGCTATGTGTCTGCAAAACCTGGAATGTCTTCTTGGTCACACACTTGTGTGAGCAAAGGAATGGAGGGGTCCACCTTCTACACCTAATACAGATTTCACTTACCTGCTGGAGCAGGGGTCTCCTGCCCCTGCAGCTCCTGTTGTCTACTAAAGGTAAAGGTAAAGGTTGCCTTGCTCGAAAGCCAGTCGAGTCCGACTCTAGGGTTGTGGTGCTCATCTCCGTTTCAAAGCCGAAGAGCCAGCGCTGTCCGAAGACGTTTCCGTGGTCATGTGGCCAGCATGACTAAACACCAAGGCGCATGGAATGCTGTTACCTTCCCACCGAAGTGGTACCTATTTATCTACTTGCAATTTCTTGCTTTCGAACTGCTAGGTTGGCAGGAGTTGTATACTAGAGGGAGGGAAAAAATCTGTTGATTCCAAGAGCGGTGTGATATCACAATATCACTCCAGTCCCCCCCCCCCCGTAAGTGATGGAGCACCGTTGTGGGATGCCCTCCCCCCATGTCACTCACCAGTTTTCTGCCAGTTTCCAGCTGCTGGCTGACGAACCTTATCCCTGCCCCCCCCCCAACCCTGGTTTAGGGATCTTCAAAGTCTGTCCATGACCTGGATGGCCCAAGCTTGCCTGGTCTCATCAGAAGCTAAGCAGAGTCAGCCCTGGTTAGTACTTGCTTGTAAGACCACCAAGGAAATCCAGGGACACGATGTGGAGGCAAGCAACAGCGAACACCTCCGAGCATCTCTTGCCTTAAAAACCTCATGGGGTTGCCATACATCACTTGTCACTTGAAGGCAAACCCCCCCCCCCCAAGTCTGTGTGTGCACAAATGTGTGCTTGGGGCAAAATAGTTAGGAATGGAGAGATTTCTTCATGTTAAGATGGGTAACTGTGTTAGTCCATCTGTAGCAGTAGAAAAGACCAAGAGTCCAGTTAGTAGCACCTTAAAAGACTAACAAAATATGTGGCAGGGTGGGAGCTTTCATGAATCACTGCTCACTTTGCTGTATCTGAAGAAGTAAGCAGTGACTCATGAAAACTCATACCCTGCCACATATTTTCTTAATGTCAGAAAGTGATTTCTATTAAACTACCAAAAAGTGGATAGGAAAAGGAGCCAGAATGGGACAGGATTGCTGCCCATACCAGATGTGTGAGTGTGGCAGAAGCCTCCAATGAAAACACCAAGGCTGATTTTGCACTAGAGCTGCCTCGATGTTGCGCCGCCGTTTGCCCCAATACTATTGGTCATTTTCACACCCGAAACTGCGGGGGCTGCATTTTGACTCGCGGCTTCGCCCGATTTCCCCTGCAGTTTCGTAATCCTGTTTTTTGAGGATCACGAAACTGCGGAGGAAATCGGGCAAGCCGCGGGTCAAATACAGCCCTGCGGCTTCGGGTGTGAAATTGACCAATGGTATCGGGGCAAACAGCGGCGAGGCAGCTCTAGTGTGAAATCAGCCCAAATGTTGCAATTTGAGCTGGCAGGAAATGGGTTATGGTATTTTGAAAAGCATCTGGTAACCCTATAAGTTTGTGCTGGAGAAGTCCAGGAGAAGAAAGAGGCTGGGTGCAACTTTAAAACAGACCCCCTCCCATTTTCACAGGGTTTTAAATACCTATTGGAGGCACATTCTGTTAGTACAAAGTAGGGGTCCCCAACGGCCAAGTGGGGTGTCATGGGCAGAGGCTAGAAAAGCTCTCCAACGGCTGCCACCACTCTGGTATGGGTCTCCTTCGGAGGGTCCGGAACACTCACCCCCTTTATACACTCCATTTCCAGCAGGTTCCTCCTTTTAAGTGACTGAATGAAGCATGAGGAGTGTTCCCTCTAAGCTGAGTTAGTGTGAGCCAGCTCACAGTTTTTTTAGCCTCCGGCTCACACATTTTTGTCTTAGCTCAGGAAGGACGGCTCCAGAGCAAACTCATTTATGCAGTAGCCAAATCGCTTGCTCACAACTTTCATGCCAGCAGCTCACAAAGTAGAATTTTTGCTCACAAGGCTCCACAGCTTAGAGGGAGCATTGGCCAGGCGGAATAACAAACTATTTTTATTACAGAGAATTAACAACAACTGTGACTCAATAACATGTAGGAAAAAGGAACACAGATAAGGTAGGTAAACCAGCAAAACAAGAAACCCTAACACATTTGACTATACTGTACCTGACTATACTGTACCTGGCTATACCTGGCTATACTGCACATTTGACTATACTGTATTTGGCCTCCAGCTGACTCAGCCTTCTTAGGTGAGGGATCCCTCCTTCTGCAGCAGCTTCACACCAGCTCTGCTTCACACACCCCTCCCACTTTGGGCAAGGCCTTTTATTCCATCTTCCAAGGCAACACCCTCTACTGGGGAAGTTTTCCTTCCAGATCCCCTGCTAACCAATCACAGGGTCCAGAGGAGACCTGGGGAATGTAGACCCTGATAGCTACTCTAGTACAGGCTTCCCTGGAGCCTAGGGTTGCCAAGTCCATCTTCCGCCCCCAGCGGGGGACCTTGGTGGCGTTCCCGGAGGGGGCGGGGCATCACCAACGTGATGACGTCACGTTGGGGACATCTGCCACCGCCCGCGTGCCCAATCTCCAGAAATGCCAGTTTCCCGCACTTAAAGGAGCCGGCGTTTCCCTTTTAAGTACATGGAGCCAGCGTTTCCCCTTTAAGAGCAAAGAGCCGGTGTTTCCCTTTTAAGTGCCGGAGCAAGCCTGATCTCAAGCGGAGATCGGGCTTGGGAGGAAACGCAGGTTCTATGAACTTAAAGGCAGCCACCCCTCTCTCTCAAGAGAGAAGGGAGAGGGGTGGCTATGGGTGTTGGGGGCAGGGCCTCCCCCACTGGCCATCTGGCCAGCGGCAGGTAGAGCCCCCCCCAAAAACGGGGGACCCCTGGCAAACCAGGGGTCTTGGCAACCCTACTGGAGCCACTAGGTCTGTAGCCTGTAGCCTGTAGGCCACAGTAATATAGGCCTAGAATCATGACATGGGGTTTTCTCCAACTTTTCCCAAGAAGTGCGGTATGTCCCCAGGAGAGCATTAGGCCCTGCGGAGAACAATCTACTGGTGATCCCTGGCCCCAAAGATAACCAGCTGTCCTCAACCAGAGCCAAGGGTTTTTTTGGCCCTGGCTCCAGCCTGGTGGAACTCTCTGCCAAATACCATCAGGACCCTGCGGGATTTAATGCAATTCCGCAGGGCCTGTAAAGCAGAGATGTTCTGCCAGACCTTTGGTTGAGAACAGCAACGGCTTCCATCATGGCTGGCCCCCTCCTCTTTCTCTCCATCACTTCGCTTCGGCCCCCTCCTCGCCCTGCCCACGAGATGGCAACACAGTCCAGAGTGGGCTTATAAAGAAAATTAGAGGCGCCATCTGAAATTGTTAATTGATTGTTGTTTTTATTGATTTTAACATTGTTTTTAACTTTGTTGTACATCACCCAGAGCCCTGTTATTACAGGGGGCTGGGCGATTTACAAATCCAGAATAGAAACAAACAAACAAACAAGACTTCTGATTGGTTGGGCAGATTTTTTAAAATGTGGCTTTAGTAGCAGCTGCCACCGCAGCACAAGAATCTTCACTGTGTGTCTGAAGGTCAGCCACGGCAGCCATTTTGTCCCTGGTTTCACCTCCCATGGCAGCCATTTTATGGCATCACACGACCATAGGGTTGCCAAGTGAGTCACCAAAATAAGTGGGGGAAAGTTGGTCCCGTTTTGGGACATTTGCGTGCGCACTTTGTGTGCGCACACCGCAATGACGTTATTATGAACTGAGATCGAGGCAGCTCTTAAACAAGGTGATTTCTTTATTCAGCTCATAACTCAACACAGGACAAACATAACACAGAACAAGCCAACTTTATACGTTTTGAACTGGTAAAACCACACCTCTAAAACAGCTAAAGTCCAATGTGCTTAGGACCAATGGGGATTGTTCCCGCCAAAGTCAATGTCTCTCCGGATTGGTCTGTTTTCCAATCCTGTTCTCGCATAGCAGGCTATGCATGTAGCACATAATAATAACTGAATACATAACAGACGTCACCCGGAAGTGACATCATCATGCCGGGCACATCGCCAGGCAATGCTCTGGCAACCAGCCTGAAAACTCTATGGTACCACAGAGTTTTCAGGGTGATTGCTAGAGTATCACCTGGCAACATGCCCAGCGTGATGAAATCACTTCTGGGCGACGTTATCACGTCAGGCATGTCAGCTGGCTGGAACCGGACCGGTGGATTGAGGGCCCTTTTAGCTGGGGAATCCCTGCCCCCCGGGGGGACTTGGTGGACCGGTGGATTGAGAGCCCTTTTAGCTGGGGAATCCCCGCCCCCCGCAGGGACTTGGCAGCCCTACATGAGCACCACACACTGGCAGAATTCCAGAGGTGTCTGCAGGCTCAAAAAGGATGGGGACCCCAGGTATAAAGGCTGCTGGTGCTTGAGAATCCTTGGCAGTTTTCCCACCGCCCTCAATCTTAGTTGTACAAGCATGCAACCCATTCACCCTTTTGTCCCTTGATTCTCCAATTCTGTCTCAACAGGTAGAGCCCAAACCTGGAGACCTTATAGAGATCTCTCGTGTGGGTTACAAGCACTGGGCCATCTATGTAGGTGCTGGTTATGTGATCCACCTGGCACCCAAAGGTAAGATTTCAGGTTTATCGTGTGTTTTTGATCCAAGCAGGGGAGGATTTAGAGCTGATGGCTTCTCAACCTGTCTCCGAGGCTGCCTCTTTAACGGTAATGTCAGAAATTAAGAGAAAAGCTTTGTTGAAACAGGGGGAAGGCCCCTCTGGTCCAGCATCCTGTTACCTGCGGAGTCTTCCAGGAACACTGCAGGCATTAGGAATGCCATCCTCCAGGTGTGACCTGAGGATCCCTCGGAATTACAGCTCATCTCCAGACTGCAGAGATCAGTTTCCCTGGAGAAAATGGATGCTTTGGAGGGTAGATTCTATGGCATTGTACCCCACTGAGGTCCCTGTCCTCCCCAGGCTCCATCCCCAAATATTGATGTTACATTTGCCCTGATAAGATGATTTTACTTGTACTCTTAGGACATAAACTGGAACGTACATATTGGCACTATTACTATCTCCAGTGTATGTAATTGCTTCTGACACAAGGCCAGATACATTTGTGGCCCCACAAACAAAATTTGTGTGTGTGTCATTCAATTCCAGATTGGAGCATTACATTTTTGGTCCTATATCAATTGTTTACTGCCTTACAAATGTAACAGGGGCTTTGTTGCAGGTTACATTCTGTACTATTTGACCTCTGAAGAAGGCTCTCATGGGCCGAAACGCGTCAGGTCATATATGGTTCCTTTTGTGCAATTGTCACTTTTGTTGCCAATGCTCAAAGGGCATTATGGTTCTTTGACTTGTGTGGCTAGCCGGTAAACCACACAGTGAAAACAATCATCCAGGCAGTAAAGGGTAATAAAAAGTATTTATTCGAATAAGGAACACCTCACAGGATTGTGGATGTTCAATTCGTTACAGTCAGGAGCTTGTTTATATGCTCTGCTTGCTCCTCCTCATTTTACATCATCACTGACATCACGTAGACATGCTCAGTTCAGTTTTCTTTGTCCGGCCAGTCATCAATCCCATATTTGGCACACAGGATGTTAGTTGGCTGAGTTTCTACTCCTACAATGCAGGTGCAGCTCATCAATTTTAATTTATAGTCTTGTTTACTTCTTTTTGGGCTTTCCCCCAGACTCCTGTTACCTTTGAATGAACCTTCCAGTTTGGGTTCATTTTCAGTATTAAACTGTCAGTTCAGTTACAAAGTTCTACAAACTTGGTTTTTCTTTACACATAATACATGCATATTAAAGTATCTTAAAGCATTTTATAAACATATTTTCACTAACAGGTATACAAAATATGAAAACATATCATTACAAAGACATTCTAAAGCATTAAACTCTTTACATGAATTCTTTTAGTATTATAAAATAGCTTGTTGCATAAAGCTCTTATAGGTGCATTAATTCTACTTATTAGTTTTCATATTGGCTTATCAGAATATTTTACAAAATATTTTCTGGTCATTTCATGAAGCTTGTTCTGTTAAAAGTTTGTTCTGTTAAAAGTTAAAAGTTTGGTGTAGTGGT